AAAGTACTCCGCCCCGATTTCCTCGGATTTAATCAGCTTCTAGTGTTCTGACCAGACACCGATTCGAAAATCTATAGTAATCGAGAAGAAAGGACCGAAAATTTTAGGCTACCGTAGTTTTCGTTACGGGAACCATTGGCCACGCCCACAAGATTTTCTCTTCCACAACTTTTTTATACAAGTATGATATTGCACTTTCTTGTTTTTCTTTCTGTTTGTTCTCACATCTCGAAAGTCGCTCCCAAACTACAGTACCTCGACTTTATTGGATCAAGATTCGAAGAAAAGGCCTTTTAAAAGGTGCGACGTCTTCCCCGGAGCGCGGTTGCGACACGTCTAATTAGAGGAATACACTTTGGGTTTATTGATCAGACGGGTACCCACTGTGCAACCTACAAAACAGTATTCATCGATCTAACATAAATTAACATGTCGACGATCAACTCCATATTCAGCCAGATTCAAATCTATATGAAAAGTTACTTCCAAGCAAACTTCCCGCTTGCCGATGGAACTATTTATATGATTCTGGTCCTAGTAGCTGGAAGTTTTGTCTACATGAAACGCATGACAGAAATTAAATCAGAGGTAAAAAAAGTTAAAATTTGATTCAAAATTCAAGAAAATTTTTTAATTCAGGCTGATTTGCGAGTCAAAATGATGTCAGCAAATATAGATGAACTGATTCAAGACCACGATGAGGAACTACTGTACGAAAAGAAAATCGCAGCTACGCACGTTATAAAAATGAGGATGCAAAAAAGAGAATTCAGTTCAAAACTAGGAGGTCTTCAGAGAAAATTAAAGAAACAAAATGAAACTGTGAATTCTCTGAATTCAAAGTTGGTCTCTCTGGAATGGGCTGAAGAAGATGCGAATGAATTGGTCGAGGAAGTGATGAATGCCAGAGTGAAACTGAGACAAGTGTGTAAATTTCTTTTTCTGAATTAATGTTCTGATTTGAATTAATTGAAATTTAGAAGGACGAACTAATCGAGGCCCTGAAGAAGCAGCTCAGTTTCTACCAACAAGATGTTGCAGTTTCAAGTCAGCAGCCGTTGAAACCAATCCAGCCAAGAGGAAGAATCAATCAGGAGAATATTGCTCCGTAATGTCTTTTTTATTATAATTAGACACTTCATAAATCATGACCTCAATTTCCCAAAAATGTTTTGATAATCCTTGTTCTTTCATAATTCATTTTGTACATCCGTATTCTGTTGTATTACGGATCAATAACGATTGTTCATTCTATCTAGTCACTTCTCACATTTCCTGTTTTTTAAATTCCCCATAATATTCTAATCAGTTGTTTCCCTAGATCTCAACTTCTACCCTTTTCGCGAGTTTTCAAACATTCCCGTAACATTCTGTATCTCAAAATAGTTTTAATATTCTTTTTGAAAAATCTCCATTTATAAAGAACGGGTCTCCACCTGCGTTAGCAAACACTAATAAATCTTATTCGCACATAAAAGTTGATAACACCTTCATTTCATTGGCGACTTAAGTAAAATGTGAAAATTGGAACCGTGAAACACCAGTATATAACAAAAAAGGGCAAAAATTCTAGAACTATGGATCGTTGGCGTATGGAGACAAATCCCCAATAAAGTTCTCCTGAACACCTTCTTCTAATCCACATGGTCTTGTGAATTCTTGTCCTCTCTCATGAATCCATTTGTTGGAAACCCATTTGACTCCAAGAAGAACTGGACAAGCTGCATGTCGAGTACGAAGATCTCCTTCTCCATCTCTCTGAAATTATAGGAATATTGAGTATTTGAACGATGAATCACAGAAGACATACTCTCAAATTGTACCAGAAGAGAGCATCATTTTTAGATGGGAAGACGGCGGTTCCGAGGTGATTGAATACGGTAGCTCCTCCACGTTCCGGTTGACTCATCTGATAATAATTAAGGTTCATTTGGAGAGCTGGAATAGGTTGTGCAAACAAAAAGTGTGACAACATTGAATAGTGTGGAAATTTTATAAATTTTGCACATTTTCAATGTGAGAAATAAATATCAGAGCAAATTTAGTATCTCCATATCATAATCAAATAATTCATACTTGTAAACGGATCCCTGGCGGGCATTCGCTGGCTCTGCCACAGTTTCTTTCAGAATCAATATTTTCGGAATATCTAAATCAGATATGATAGAACTCAGCAAGTACTACAAAATGACACTATCTGAAACGCTGCATCTTGTCTATGAACATGGTTACAAAGAAACGGGTAGAAAAAAAAACAGCTAGGGACCGGATCAGCCACTTTCTGGCTTTATAAATTTGTTCATAGACAAGATACAGTTTTCTAAATACATCATTTTGGAGTACTCGTCAAACTTAATCATATCTAATATAACTGGTCTGAAAACATTGATTGTAAAAGAAAGTATGGGAGGGCCCACAAAGGTGTGTTAGGGTCCAGTTGACAAGTATGGAATAGACAGTTTTAAATACTTTACAAAATTACTTTCACAGTCAATTTTCTTTTAGAAAACGATTCTACAAAGTTTGAAATTTGTTTTTCAGATATCTCTCACATTTCAGAAACTTTTCAGAAAAATCATTTCAGAAAAAAAGAAATCTTTTAATATTTCGCAAAGAACGCGCCTATTGAGTCAAATGATTTTAAACATGAAAGATTTCATCACGTATTTTCGGATGGACACGCAATTATTGCAATTATTCGGAACCAAAAAGAGAACAAAGGAGTCGTCTCACGCACCACATTCGATTTCTCAAAAATACGCGATGAAATCAAAATAGAATCGAAAATATAATATCTCACATAGAATAAGACCGTCGCGATTCGGTTTCCAGTATTGAGTGTCTTGAATGCGTTCTTCTCTTCTTTCTATAATAATGAAACATTGACAGGACAGGAAAACTCACATAGAATAACACAGTTGCTCGGTTCGGGGACACCTCTCTGAAAATGATTACTGATATTCCACATGGATTGGAAGAATACCAACCAGTGACATATCATAATGAGGATCATAGTGTCCACCCAAACCGTAATTTGCAATCTGAAAAAGAGAGAAAATTGAAGATTAATTTACCCTGGCAAAATCAAAGTGTGGGTCATAATGACCTCCGAGTCCGTAATTGGCTACCTGGAAATGAACTTATAGATATTATAAACAAACTCTGGCTTTTGGTACCTGAAGTTCTTCTGAAGTGGCTTGATTCAATCCAGTGAAATCTTCAATTCTTCTGTTGACTCTATCAATAACTGGATCCAAATCTCCCTTCAACCATGCACTGAAACCATTGAATACTTTCCCAGAAGTTAGAATAATGTAGAGATTAAAGATAATTTCGGTTGCAACTAGATCTAGTGAAAGCCAACAGAACCATTCCACAATGAGGGGGATTCAGGAAAAATAGAAGCAAACCTTTTGGAGATACGATAGGTGGCATGTTCCAGTTCGCCAGTCTTCGAGTTTTGGACAGTTGCTCTCTTCAGCTAAAACGAACACAAATGAAAAGACAACAAAGGAGAGAGAATGAATTCAGCTATAAGGCTATGAACACAAAAAGCACACTCTATAGCTATATGAGTTCACTAGTGTCACCTTTTGGCAATTCGATAATCTACAGTAACCAATGTACCGTCTGGAGCTTTTACAGTGGCACGTTCTAGCTTAAAATGAGATAACGTTTTTTTCCAGATTTTGAATCAACTTGAGGGGTTGCCAAACCTGAAAATACTTACTTTTGGAGAAGCCAACTCCTTGATGACCTCAATTTCAGAGTCAGAAATAACATTCTTAAAAAGAACAGCCAGTGGATCGAATCTCAAAATTTCGACTTTGATTGGAGCAATCTTCAGGAATGGCTTGTCTCTCTTCAAATAACATCTCAATTTGCTCTTCCATTTTTCTTCAACTGGTGGAATCTCTCCACGACAAAGGGCCTCATAAGCGTCTCTTTCAACGATTCCATCGAATTCAACTCTCTTAAAAATTTGATAATATAGTTGTCATAGGAAGAAAAGTGATACCTTATTGACAATTGGTGGCAAGTCTCCAACCATATCCTTTCCTTGGAGCATATCCTCATACCACTTCACATTTCCTTTGGCTCTTGGATGGTTTGGAGCAATCTTGGCAAGACGTTTGGTAAGGGAAAGAGCACGACGAACGTTTCCTTGTTGATAAAGGGAGTAGGCCAGATATTCAAGGATTTCAGATTCTTCGACACTTGGTGGACTCTCGTTCTCGATCTGAAATATTGATTGATTTCTCATGTCACAGTTAGGCAACTGCTTACTTTGTTCAAAGCAACTTGCATCCACATCAAGCAATGATAATAATCCTTCTGATTATAAGCAGCTCTTCCAACTTCAAAAGTATCATGTCCAGACAGCTTGTTCGAGACCTTTTCTCCTCCAATAATTCCATTTGACAAGTCAAGAGTATCAAGTTTATAGGTATCCTGAAGTCTCAACAGAGCAATAGCAGCTCCGCTCAAATCTTCTTCTCCTGGGAATTTGACTTCACTTCTGACTCTATTATCAGTGATATTCTTGAGGAAAGTAGTTGCTTTATTGTTCAACATTATATTCTCCACTTTTTTCCATTCACTTGTCAATCGTTTGATCAACAAGTAGGCGTTGATTGGATTTGTTACGAATTCTGGACCGACAGCTTCTGCATGAGCATTGCGATGAACGTATTCATGCGCATATCTAAGCAAAAATTCTTGAAAAAAGGAACAAATAATTGTAGACAGACCTTCTGAGATCATCTAATCTTGCCCTCTCTGCAGCAATATATTGATCTATAACTGTCGTCACATCTTTTTCTGCTCCCAACATGTGCTGAAAAACAGACATTGCTTTCAGTTTTTAGTTTCATTCTATACCTGTAAATCGGCTATGGCAGTGAAAAGATCTGCATTAGCAAGTGCTGCCAGAAGGCAGACAATCGCTACTGTTCTCATTCTGAAACTCGAAAATGTTTGATTGAAAGTCTGAGTAAAAATCGAGAGAGCTAGAGAAGTAGGTTCAAAATCAGTGCACAACTGACACGTTCGAGGTCAAAACCGAGTTAGAGAGAATGGAAGAAGAAGAGAAAAAGAGAAAGAATTGATAGGAGAGAAGAGCAGCCGTCTGCAGGACTTTTTGTATATTTTACAATTTGTTGGAGAAGAAAAAGAAGAAAAAGAGGAAGAATGAGAAGGGGTAGAGGTGTGTGGTGGAGGAGCATTGGAACGGATCGAAAGTTCATAAACAAAAGGAAGCATTGTGACTAATATTATCATATGAATATGTTTATGTTCGAATGTTCTGTCTTCTTTTCAAAAAAAATGCTTGAAAACTTCTTCTGGTATGGGTCAAGAAGTAATATTCGTCTTCTAAACAAACACAAAAACTAATACAGGATTTGTTTTTATCCTCGTCTAAGTCAGATGTTAATCTACAAGGATATCGTTGAGCGTCCTTGGAAAAATCTTATAGTTAGCACGTAACAAAAATAGATCATGAAAGTTTTTTGGATCATTTTGAAGTTGGACGTAGTGAGAACCGTGAGGTGTCTTCAAATTGTCAAGCGAAAACCCCAAGAATATAGTTTTCGTAATGAGAAAACAATCATCAAAAAGATTGGTGTCAAGTTTAACAGTTCTTAAGAACGGAATTCAGAAAAAAAAGTAGTTGTTCACTTGGATCGACGCGTTCAATTTCCTTCTAATTTCTTAAGGGATGATGTGGAAGTTTTTGGTCGAGACAATGAGAGATTCTCGAAGAGAAGAAACTTCCTTCTCTCGTCTGAGTCTCTTCCTCTTTTTTGATTTCGCACGTAAGAACGTCCTGTCTTGATCCAGTCCATCATCTCATTCGGAAGCGAGAGGCTGACCTCCATTAACAATACCAATAAGTAGGTTGAATCGCGCAAGATTTATGATGACGTGGAAAAGAATGGGATCTTTTTGGGTGACGAGAAAATGAGTGAGAGAAGGTGGGTGTGAAGAGAATAGGCGCGAAAGCAATTGAAATTTGTTGATTTATATAAGGAAGGGAAAAGAGAATAAGCTGGGACTGGAGGACGGTTTACACCCATCTGCATACTACGTGTCAGATGCGCAGTCGACGTGCGTATTTCGATGCCTACGTGACTGCGGCTTCTGTCTTCGGTAGTAATGTTTGCGAAGACACCACTCGATCAGCGGGTGCCAGATGGTAGAAGATCGGCGGGAAACACGTAGAATAAGAAGAAGGAGAAGTGGAAAACTTCAGAGGAAGATGGAATGTTATTGGACCGGTAGAAGGAAAAGTATCGAAAAAGGAAGCGCTGAAATGGAATAGAGAAAAACTGCATCTCAAATTTTCTTTTTTTTTCTACACTTCTCTTCTTTTCGAAATTAGAATTTCACTAGTGCCATCCGTCAACTTTTGAGCCCCTATCTCATTTACTGTAAAAGATATACAAAAGTGGTAAACTGACAAAATGTTTTTGACATTATGACAACAATTTTGCCAGTGGTCCACTTTTCAATATCTTTTGAAGGAAATGAGATTTATGGGTTTGAAGTTTACCGTTTAAGTATAATTCTATTAGTTTTTACGATGTCCACTTTCTCGATACAACCGTTTTCATACGGTTTATTACTCCAAGCCATGATATCCAATACATTTCTAAAATGTGTTTCAAAGTGATTCCTCTCATCAGCTATCTCTTCTCGTTTCCCATATTGATACTTAGATTGGCAAGAAAAAAACGGAACTGGTCATTCAAACCGGTTCTTTTTCTGCCTCCCGACGCGGAAAATATGGAGATGGTGGGGGAAAGAAATGTGTTATTCTTTGATGTGAAACACTGAAAAAAATGGGAATTCGAAGGGACAAAAATGCCGAGAAAGTTTCACACGGAAGTAATGGTTTAAGTTGTAAATGGCAGGTAGCAAGATCCTTTTTATGACAGTGATTCAGAGAGGGGAATGGTAGTATGTACCGTAAGACCTGAAATATTTAGAACGTCCCCAAAACTTTGAGCCATTTTATCTCGGTACCTATCAGATATATATGAAAGTTGTGAATTGTTAAATTTTTGTCATAAAACATTTTGTCAGTTGTCATATTTTTGATATCTTACATAGGAGCCAAGAAAAGTTAGTTCAAACTTGACAATGTGAGGACCATTCAATTACAGGTTTTACGGTATTATCTTTTCGAGTAATAGTTAAAATTATTCTGTTCGAGTAATAGTTAAAACATCGGAAATCCCACATCTGAGTTTTCAGATGTGGGCTTTCAAAAAATTAATCAATCCAACCTTTCCGAATTTTTAGTAAACTAATTTTCTGACTTGAATGTTCTTAACCCCATACAGAAGCCTAATAATTGTTTATTTGGAGCCTTCTATTCTCATCCGACAGATGATGTTCCACGTTGTTTCGTCGTCCCAGTTCGAAAACGGATAACATCTCCGTTTAACACAGTGTTTCCTCCACCAACTCACAAAGCTTCTTTTCTTTTTCTTTTCTTCCCTCCTATTCTCCAATATTCACACCTCAAAAATGATGATTGATCGAAGAAACAAACGAAGTGTTCAAATTTTTTTCCTTCTAATCACTTTTTTGGTCTGTTCAGGAGTTTTCTTCTGGTATTACAGGTCAGTTGAATTCGGCGGCGTTTAGAAGTATCTTAAATTTTTAGCCATCCGGAAGACGATGTCCCAGACTATTTTCCACGTAAGTGTTATTCTCTGTTGATTCTATATGAATCAGAGAATGTCCTAATAAATTAGAGAAAAAAATAAATCTAATTTTGCAGCAGAAGTGAAAGAACATCAGAAAACTGAAAGAGAAGCAGCACTAGAAAAAGTTCGGCAATTGCAGCAGAATGGTATAGTTTCAGTCTTAAAGAGCCCGTTTGTCTGATTTTTTGTAGGTCTTGAAAACGCTGCGGCTGAAACATTTTATGATGATCAATCGAAAAAATCGATTTCTGGAAATCCCGATAATTCCGGTTATGAGAACGCAAGAATTCTTTTCCAGAAGTTGAACACAACAATTGTTCAAGAAAGTTAGATTCTCTCTAAGAACGGCTTGTCATTTTTAATTTGTAGGCCCATTGAATGAGAATGGCGAAAAAATGACGGCAGATTCATTTTATGATGAGAAATTGAAGCAAAAGCAAGAAGAGGATAAGGATTTCAATCAACGTAAGTTAACGGTTTAAGGCAACAAAAATACCGTAAAAACCTGTAATAGAAGGGTCCTCACACTGTCAAGTTTCAGCTCAATTATCTCGATATCTATGCAAGGTATCAAAAATTTGTCAACTGACAAAAAGGTTCTGAAATTATGAAAAACGCTTTACCAGTTGACTTTTTTTACATCTATGACAAGAACCGAGAACAGTTAGCTGAAATTTGAAAATTAAGGGACTCTTTTATTATAGATTTTACGATAAAAAGTATTTTTCCAGAAAAAACAAGTGAGGAAGCAGAAAATGCTGATCATGCAGTACATCCTGATCCTTCAGTTAACGAACAACATAAACAAGAAGCTGTTCAAAAAACAAGTGAGAATTGAATAAATTTTCATTGATTTTTTATATGAAGACACTTTTTAAATCTTTAAAAATGTTCTGTGAGATTAATGCCAATAAGTTATTGGATAAATCATCGAAACGAAATTCTATGAAGAGAAACTATTCAGGAAGTTTTTTTTCTGGAAATTTTTGGCAAAGTGAGATGTGTTGTTTTAATAAATACGGCAAAACCTGTAATGGAAGGACCCGCACTGTCCAGCTTGAGCTAATTTTTCTTGGCTCGATATCAAAAATGTGTCAACTAACAGAAAACTTCTGATATTATAACAAAATATTTATCAGTTGACACATTTTTCATATCTTTAACGAGGACCGAGAAAAATTCGCTCAAATTCAAAAGTAAAGGAGCCCTAACAGGTTTTACGGTAAACATGTATTTTTCCAGAAACCACGAGTGAGAAAGCAGAAAGTGCAGATCCTCCAGTACAACCTGATCCTTCCCCCAACGAGCAACATAAGCAAGAAACTGCTCAAAATTCAAACACGAGTGAGAACTGAATAATTTTTTCTGGAATTTTATACGTATGAAGACGATTTTTTAATTTGTAAAGAAACTATTGTGAGATACACTATCAGATACATCATCGAAACAAAATTCCATGAAGAGAAACTACTCAGAAAGTTTTTCTGCAAATTTCCGCACAACTAAATCATTTTTACCCGTTTTTTACAAAAAAATTAAAAAAGTCGGAGTTGCGGAAGAGAAAAGCTTGAGGGCGTGGCCAATGGTTCTTGTAACGAAAACCACAGAAACCTAAAATTTACGGACCTTTTTTCTAGATTACGGTTGCTCCAAACAAACCTCCAAACAAAGACGTTAATGACATTTTCCTAAATCTAAAAAGCTGCCTGAAAACGGACGAAAATCAAGAAAAAAGAAAACAAAGGAAAATTGCTAATTACGGTAGTTCGGCCCTTGCCACGACAACCAGATTTTCTCTTCAGCAGCCCGGCACACTCTGTGAGTCAATCAAAAACCTTTTTTTGCTACATTTAATCACCCCTTCAAGGTTTCGCTGTAATAGAGGGCGTTCTACTACAGGTGTTGTCATATTACAGTTTTTACAGCTATTGTAAGATTAGTTTCGGTTTACAAATCAATGAAAGCTGTGAAAATTTTTCGAAAGTACATTGTTACACAAATTCCTCATTTCAGCACAGCGTCATTTTTTTAGTACAATTGAAATCAAAAAGTATATGTAGATTAGAATCGTCTATGAGGATTGTGCCGATGTGTAGCTTTAGTGTTTTTTCATCCCTTAATATAGAAATATTCGAACAGTCGTTCTGAACATCAGTATCTATCCTCTCATCTATCGTTTCGTTTGAGATCCATTCCGTCTTTTCATTTTTTCACTTGAAACAAATTCGGATCTGTTTCAATCGCAGCCTCTCTTTCTCTCACAAATGAATCTTAAGAAGGAGTCGGTTTGGTTCAGATAAAATTCATTTTCATTATGAATCCAAGCTATTTACTCCGTACTTTACTTTATTCTGTTTTTGTCTTATCTCTGATCCTCAGTTTCAAAGTTCTAGTCGCCATTTATTCTATAGGTAAGTTATAAATTTCTGAATGTCAAAGAATTTCAATATTTCTATGATCCCTTATTATTTCAGATGATAAATCGATAACAAAAGATGAAAAAAACGCTTTTGATGTGATTCCAAAAAATGATACAGCTTCTCTGGATATCATCGGAAAATCAGAAGCAGTTCAATCCTGGTTGGCAAAGAAACATAATTCTCGAACAAGGTCACTTTCTGAAGTCGAATCATCTCTTCGTGTAGATCAAGCAGCTCAGATGAGTGCCAGAAGAAATCCTAAATTCGAAGCAGTCGATCCGGAAATTGAAAGATTACAAAATCAAGTTCATCAATTTAAGTTTGTACAGTAACATTTTTATTTTGAAACTTCAATAAACTTTTTAAAAATACAATTTCCCGTTAAACATGAGAAGACACTTTCAAACCGATTGATTCGACGTTATTAAGAATATTGATCAGTTGCCCGCGGAGTCTGAAATTTTAATTATGAAATCGTTTCAAAGTTTTTTTAAATTCTACCTGTTAGCATCTCCAGATCCTAAACTCTCCAATGCATTCATCACAAATGTTTTTGTTTCTTGATTCAAATCTCTAATCGATCTCAAAGTTCCATTTATTTTCTCGTTATCATCACCAGCCTAAAAGCCTTTTTCATTTGAGCAAAAGTACCGTTAAACCTGTAATAGAAGGGCCCTTAACGTTTATCTTTGAGTCAATGTATCTCGGTTCTCATAATGTCATAAACATGTTTCAATTGATAAATTTCTGATATCTTGCAAAGGAATTGAGACAATTGAGATCAAACTTAACATTCAGGTCCTTCTATTACATGTGTTACGGTATCCAACTCACATGACTAGTGTATCCACGTGGAGAAGTAGATGCTGGTTGAGGAGAATCGAATGCATCAGATCGAATGACTCCAGTTGTCTTGTATCGTTTTATCACATCCAACATTCTTTTCTTGGGTCCATATGCAATATTCATATCCTTAAAATCCTGCTCTTTCAATTCGAAAAACACTTCCAAATCAACGTTTTCACTCTTGAATTGTTCCACATATCTTCCCAAATCCATCTCTTCCAATAGTTCAGATAGCGTTCGTGTAACTCGATTTCCAGGTATTATTTGAGGATTTTGCTTCGCATTTTCTGCTTGATGATCACTGATTAGTTGCAAGATTTTGTTGTTGTCGCATGCCAAAGTAGCCGCATTCTCTCCTTTTAAATTCTTCTGATCAACATTTCCTCCTTTTTCGAGAAGCGAGATGAAAGTAACTTCATGACCTGCCATCGCAGCTTCATGGACCGCCGTCGTTCCCTGAGAATCTGCTGCATTTGGGTCACATCCAGCAGCCAACAACGTATCAACAACCACATTTTGACAGCAGCTGGCTGCATAATGAATTGCTTGTCTTTTCTCCTTATCACAGATTTTTGGGTTAGCTCCGCGTTCCAAAAGAAGGCGAACAACCTGGAACATTTTCAGTTCAATGTAATTTTTATCTTCAGATTTTCCAGACGATCTTCAAAAGAACGTCCACAGATTTTTTAAAGTGGAATCTTCTCCTGTCCTATCTGATTTTCATTAAGCATGCATCCATTCCTGGTGTCTTTATTCTTTCATTCCTCCAGCTAGCTAGATATTATCTACACTTTGAATCTCACACTTTCCGTACACTCTACAAACTTTCCGTTTGGTTTCTTGGACTTTTCACCATTTCAACGATTCCCTTTCTCCAGGATCAACTAAAATGAAAGTTTCACTTACATTGAGGTTTCCACATGCTGAAGCCATCATCAACGGCGTTTGCCAGCGACCGTTTGTAGAATCGTCCACCTGAAAATTAATGATTCTTTGATTTTCAGTATATTTTCTCTAACCGTTGCTCCACTATCCAGAAGAAAAGCCACCACGTTGTTATGACCCAGATAAGCGGCATAGAGAAGTGGGGTCCAGCCAGATTGATTTTTCATGATCATGGTATTTGGATTGATTTTCAACAGTTTTCGAAGCTCTTTCTCATCTCCAATACTTGCAGCTGTGCATGCATCCATATCATAACGATTCTCATGATGAAGTTGTGGCATTGGTTTAGATATAATATCAGCCAGAAGAGGAGCATTTCCATATCTACTCGATGGTACATAAGTGATACCTGGACGCTCTTGAAAACGGACTCGACCCGACATAATCAATGAGAAATGATGTGAAGAAAACAGAGATAGGAATGAGAAGAAGACAATTAAAAAGAGAAAGAAGAATCGGCCGGATGAGAAAACCAGTTTGATAGAATGACTAATACGAAATGATATATGAGATTGAAGAAGATGAAGTTTATTGTTAATTGAAAGGTAAAAAGAATGTGTAGTTTGCAACATAAATTTATCGGAATCACTTAATACCGCGAATTCATATGATTTATCATACTAATCACAACTTTCAACCTTGATTATTATTCAAATTCCATGAGCTCTTCAATTGTGTGAAATAAACATCAGTGTGCTTGCTGGTTTCCACATTCATCTCTTCTCCAAATGTACCTCTTACCGTCTTCTGACTGGATCGGGTGGCATGAATTATGTTTGATTTTCTGATTCCTAACTTCATGAATATACTTTCTAGTTCCGCTTGCCATGGATCACTCATTTTGTATGTTAGATAAGGGGCGAGAATGCATAGGCTGAAGAAAAATAATTACGAAAAAAAAATTTTGGAAACTCACAAAGTGTAACTTAAATCAAATAAAATTTCATAGACTTCGCGATGCATTGGATTCGAATCTAAATGATCGACCAAAGTAACGAACGTACATATAAGAGGGAATATTGCCAACACAAAAAGATAATGGGAAAAGAACTGAAAATGTTTTGTGGAATTATTTTTCTAACTTTGGTCACAAACTTTGTATAACCGAATATTTTCGGATATCTGATATCTTTCTCCAAGAGAATACGAATGTCTGTGTACTCGATTCTGATAAAAATATTTTCTATTGATTCTATAAGTTATCAGTGAAACAAAATAGCAGATGACAATTGAGATTAAATGACCGGCTACGAAAGCTAGTACTAGGTTAGCTGAAAAAAAAATGTGTAACTGTCGTTGATACTCTGAGAACATACGGATCATGAAGATATAAGAAGTGATTGCAGACACGATAAGCGTCAGAAAAATGATAGAATAACCAATTATTGGTCTCTGATTTCTCTCGTAATCCGCGACGAAATAAGTGGCACAAAGACGCTCCAACATTATAGCAAACAAAGCAAAAAGAGCTGAAATTTCGGAATCAATAACCTTCATATCCCTTCGATTTTTCGTACGTGGGCAGCTCAAAAGTGTTCTGAGCACTACGATTGTCATGGGAAAGTAGAATTCTCTTTTGCCCAATATATTGATTGATGCATCTGTTATAATAAAAATAGAGGTAAACGGACAAGTCGCATAAATTGATTGATGAAGAATTTGGATGTTAGTTTTGTAATGTTTCACTCGAAATGTGACAAATAAATTAAAAATATAATAGAGAATTCTGAAATTACTGTTGAAAATCTGAGCAATTCTGTTTGAAACCTTACGAAAGTGAGTTCAGAATAATAATGGTTATGTAAAAAACAACGAAAATCGGATAGGTACCGTTTGTATACATTGTGCAATCTGAAAGTCTCATACCAAAAAATAAGAAAAATCGAAGATTGACTGAAGAAAAAGTTAGGCAAAATTCTTATCAAAAAGAAACAAAATCGTCACGGTTGTAAGGAGATTTCGAGGTTGTCTGAATCAGAATCAAAAACTGAAGAAGCGGAAAAAAACACAGATGAAACAAAAATGATGATGAGATACATATGAGATACCCTGGTCGAAAGCGGAAGTATTTTTTGAATGGAGTTGTGCGCTCGAACTTGTATGTACTTCCGTTTTGAAGAATGGTATTGTTATGATTGTCCAAAAACTACCGGCGTAATGTTTCTTGTGATTTTCATGGGAAGAAGCAACTTCGAAAAGCTATAATTCAACTCAAATTTTATCAAATAGTTTGAAAATTTGCCAGTTTACGGATAAACTATTCGAACTTTTGCACTCCAAATTTAAGGCCAGTATAACGCCTTACTCAAATTTTATTTCAGTAAAACCGGGTAATTGTCCGCCACCCCGTTGAACATTGAGTCATGTGCTAGCACATACGTTTTCGGAACGTTTTTTCAAAGTTCAAATGGGCGCAGAGGCAAAATTTGACCGCCAAAGTATGGTCCCAACCATAAAGGATCGTCCCACGTTTTGCAATGAATTTAATTGCCGAATTGACTTACCCTGTCTCCAATGATTGATATATGGAAAGAATGGACGATTTTGTTTTGAAAAGAGACATGTCTCAAATCTTGGGACCATTCTCTGCATGAGGTACCATTTGTCAATTTTTTGCCGATTCTATGTTTCTTGTATTTCAAACATTTTTTGATTTTTCTGGATCAACGCATCAAGTCGTACTTTCTTTATCGAAAATTCATATACCGTAAACTCTCTGATAGAATGATCTTTTAATTTTCAATTTAATTTTATTACGAGAATTCTGCATAATAAACAAAATTTTTAAATTTCTTCACAAATTAATTTCAATAATTCACTTCTGTGGAGTTTTTACTTCTCGACTCCACGCTTTCCTGAACTGTTCGAAATAGACATCACTGTGTCTGGAGCTCTCAAAGTTCATTTGCTCTCCAAATGTATTTTTCAGCTTTCTTGCTTTTTCTGAGAAGATGTCGAGAACTTTGGTCTGTCTTCTGATCCCCATCTGAAAATAAAATTTCCAATTTCAAATTAAAAATTGTTCCTTACTTTGAGCAATATCAAATCGTACTTGTTTTGAAAGGATTCGCTCATTTGAAGGGAAAAGTATGGAGCAAAAATAGTCAGTCTAAAAATCAGAATTCCCGAAGGTTTCGAAACGATAACTGACTTACAAAATATAACTCAAATCAAACATTGCTATGAGCATTCTGTGAAAAGGCCGAGCAGAAAGAAGTGCAGCAATCATAATGACACCACAGGCGCTGGTGAAAAACGCTATTACGAACAAATATCGAGTGAAATACTGAATATTTAAAAATTAAAGAAACATCAATGAGAATGGAGGAATACCTTATGAATTCTAATGTTTTCCGAAATCTGATACCGTTCTCCTAATGAATAAGTGTGCTTTACTACTCGATTCTCAAAATAGTAACTACGATTCAGACGATACGTCCACAACAGGATGCCATAGGAAATGCCATTTATAATTAGATGGACTGTTGAGAATGTGACAAAATATTCACCTAAAAATAAATTGTTTTTAAAGAATACAAAACTGGAAGGTGTAGACAGATTTCTAGGTACAGGGTTCGCTAGACAAGAACATTGATCTTTTGGAAGTATCTGGCCATTTTTTGAGAAGACAGAAAGGGCTATTGAACTTTCGAAATTCCAATAATTCTCGAGTTTGAACGTTAAAAGTATTCAAGGGTATAGGTGATTTCGGATAAGACCGCTACTAAAGCCGACTAAACTTCGACAAAGTTATGACAAAGTTCCGACCAAAATCTAACCATGGCCCGCTATACAATCGTTTTCAAGCAAGTTCAGACTCCCGCCCCGAGAGAGCGGGGCCGGGATCGCCCCCACCCCTCAAGGCAAATCTTTTATGCGTAACTGCGCGTAACTGAATGAATCAATTTTCTTCAAAATTTCAGGGTGGCCTAGTAAGGCACTTTGAATCGTAATTAAAATTTAAAAACCAGGTTACTTTTTCATTAAACGTGCTTTTCTTTTTCAACAGGCGGGGGCGATCCCCGCCCCGCTTTTGGGGGCTCCCGCGCAAAGCGGGGCGCCCCGTTGCCAACCCTAAGGGTAAGTGATACCTACTTTTGAAATCCACAATGTACTCTGTGAATAAGGCTGACGAATATAAAAACGCAATCAGAATATATCCAATCCAAGGCCTTTGCTTTTTCTCGTAATCCTGAATGTAATATGTTGCACATAACCTTTCTAACATTGTCGCTATTAAGGAGAAAAATGCTGAAAATTTTCCTATAAGTTTAAAAGCGAGATTTTTACTCACGGGGTGCCAAAATTGCTGTTCGGGCATGCTGGAAGCAAATATAAGTTTCCTTATTTTTTTCATAATCTAAAACATGTACAATTCTATCGGTCCCATATAGAATGTCAAACCTTGCTTCAATTCAATAACATCCAAAATCTTTTCAATAATCACAAAAAGAGAACTAATTGGACATGTTATATAAACCGCTTGGTTGATTCTATGAATGTTTCGTTTGAAATCTCCAGCTTTCAAACATAATACCGTGTTGAAAATATAGTAGAGTATTCTGAAATAACTCTCTGACAGTATTTATTTAACTTGAGTGACCTACGAGAAGATACAATCATGTAATAGCATAAAACTAGAGTTTGGTAAGAGCCGTATTCATTAAGCTGCATATTTAGAACGATAGGAGTTTGAAGGTTGTTAGAATTTCAACAATAGTATATTTCTCGTCACGAATCAACGAGCTTGTTTCGAAGAAGAGAGGTTTCAAAAAAAGAAACATGTGATGGAGTAGGAGGGACGTGCGAGATTCTAAAATAATTAGGCAACCTTGAGATTTTTGATGCTTGGGAACCGATGCTTCTGAAAACATTTTCAGGTGGATGAGCACAGAAATACAAATCACGATTTCAGATAAATACGTTCTGATTTAGGGTAATTTGAAAAAGGTCCTTCTTTAGAGATGAAAACAAAAAGATCGGGAAAGTATCCATATCAAAAAGACGATTCGTCGCACTGACCTATTTTTTCATTGTGCAAGAATTTAAATCCTATTTTCAAATACCATTTTTTTTTCAACGGCTATTTGATTCACTTTTGATTTAACACTGAATTTGAAACAAAGTTTCATAGAAGTGTCATTTATTAATATTTATGGATTCCATGATTTCTGAAGTTGCTCAAAGTACATTTTACTATGTTGACTCGTATCGAATTCCATTTGTTCTCCAAAAGTATTTCTCAATGTTTTCACAGGATCTGTGTCGAAATTTCCAATTTTTGAAACTTTTCGAAGTTTCAGCTGAAACAAAGGAACATGATATAGACTAGAATCGTTTTCCCTTAATTTCATCTAACTCATTTTGCCATAATTCGCTTCTTCAGAATAAGATATGGTGCAATGATGCATAATCTGAAAAAAAAAGGAAAATAAATGAGAAAAAGATAATTTTCGAAAACTTACAAAGTGAAACTCAAATCGAAAACTACACAGAGGATTTCTCTATGAATAGGTACCGAGTCATAGTGAGTTATCAAGATACAAGCAATACAAAAAAAAGTTATCAAGATACAAGCAAAAAAAAAATAAAAAACTACGAAAACCGCAAGAACAATCAAAAAATGATCGAAAAACTGATACATCCGAATGTTTTCAGCTATCTGATATCGTTCTGCCAACGGATATACTGCCTTCGTAACACGATTTTTGTAGTAGTAACTGCGATTTATCAGGTACGATTGAAATGAAATAAAGTAGCAAATCGTACTGAGAAACATATGAAATGCCACAAAAACTTGAATGTAATTGGCTGAAACACTTTGTTTTATTAATTGATTCTCCTGAAGTATCTTACTGTAATTCAAAATATATGACGACAATGCTGATAAGGAATACGAGGACTCATGACGGCTGTTCGAAAAAATGGATGGAAAATTAAAATATTATTGGATGCTTCGAAATCTGAAAATAAAAGTTCAGAAGAGTATTCTGAAGACGCTTTCAACCTCTCCGTTTTCCCATAATATCTAATACTTTTTCAACAATTACAATTGTTGAACTGATAGGACAAGACACATAAATTTCTTGGTGGATTTTCGCCAAATTAGTTTTATAGTGTTTGACACGAATCGTAATTATGAGATTGAAGAAATAATACAGAATTCTGGAATAAATTCATGAGGTTTTGGAGAGTTTACAAAATACACTTACGATAAAATGTTCAAACAAATGATAAGCCCAAACAAGAGCAGAAACCAAAACTGGTACTCTTCTTTGTAAAATGAACGCTGGGAAATTGAGAGCATATTTTGAAGTCTTCTAACCGGGAAGCAATAGAACAGGTCTTCGTTATTCTATGTGTTCTGAAAGCATAAACACGTGATGAGATGTAGACAGCTACGAGAGCACACAATTCGTTCTGGGAATTCTTTTTTTGGTGATAAACTGATAATTGATCACTTGTGAAGGAACGGTCCGAAAAAGATACTATCATTGTTTTTTGATCGGAGAAGTGATTAGGAAAGCGTAATTAGAATCAGAAGCCGTATTCATGAACATTTAACTTTGTAAATAACTTACTTTCAAAAATACTAATTTATAATAGTTTGATGTTTACACCCTATTTTTCGGAACATTCTCTTTCTAAAAAACTTATGCATTGTTAGAAAGTTACTACAAAAACAAAATTATCTAACTTTGAACCCGAACTTCATTACTGTTCAACTCAAAAATTATTATTCCCGATACAAATGGCATGAATGTCGCTCCCCCTACGGGGTAGCAACCTGGATATATTTGTTGCCCATAAGCTCTTGTGTGATAGAGCTTACGGACTCACTCTTGCCAAGCTCTACAGTCACTCAATGCACCAAGGAAGCGCCCCTAGACATGCCAAGCTGCCCACAGGAGTCTGTCTCACTTCCGCGCACTCTCTCGCCCACCAGGAGGTGCGCTCCACTGAGACTGCTCTACAGAACCTGCGCCAAGGAGGAACGCCAACCGCCAACCAGGAGCAGACACACTCTCTCAATTCTCTATGCTCTCTCCCCTCTTTGTCTCTGCGTCTTTCACATTCCTAATCACTGATCAATTGTCATCCTATTCTAGTCAGTTCTTCCAACCTGCAGCCATGTAGGATGGTTGCTCCCTTCCACATGCTCCTATGAGTTCACCCCATTCACCAATGTACATATATTTTACCAAGCTTGTACAATAAACTCATTGTGAACTAATCCTCGTGCTACTTCACCCTCACTACGTCTGCTGCATAAGTCACGGTCGCTAGGAGTGTTGGGCTCATCACCCCTCAATCCCATACCGCGACAATGAACGGATAGAGCAATGTAAAGTACATACTGTGTCAAAAAATGAGCTTTTTTTTCAGTTTATAGCAATTGAGAAAATCTGGTTAAGGAAGTTTTTCTATCTGAAAAACAGGAAAATAATTTACAAAAAAGCAAAATATTTTCAGTACATTCTCAGATTTTATTTATCTTTCGGTAAATAATTCAGTAGATTTTTTAAGGGTAAATGATCAATATAGGTTTCATGGATGAGTTTTACAATGTTTTGGTTAATGTTGAAAATATTTTCTATATGAAGTTAAAAAAAGTCATGATATAAATTCATCTGGATTAAATTTGTACACAAAAAAAGCAAGAGAATATCTGGTCCATTTTTTATGAATTGTATGAATCCACTTGGGTTCAAGCGAGGGGGTCAGAAAGCGCGCCCCAGTAAATTTTTCAAAAATTCTCAATTCGCTGCCGAACTTCGTTGGCTGAGTATCACAGTTTTAAACGATGAGCGAGAATACGCGCGTTGCAACCCGTTGATTTTTAAGAAATATATCATGATCTAGTTCAAACCCGCGTTCATTTTAAAATTATGACATTTCTTCTGGCCTAAGAGTTTGCTGGGGCGCTTTTTCTGACCCCCTCGCCTGAACCCAAGTGTGAATCATTTCTGAGAAAAAAATTGTACATGTATTGTGTCTGGGTATTTATGAAATATTATTATGATTTATCTCAGGCTTGGAAAATTTTTAGAAATGAGGAGAAAATTGTTGATTCAATTAAAAGTCACACCCGAACGACTTTAGTCAATTTTCGATTCCATGATGTGCGAAGGTGATCGAAATACATATCACTGTGTTGACTTGTCTCGAATTCCATCTGCTCTCCAAAAGTGTTCTTCAAAGTTTTTGACCTCTCATGGACCATTTGAACTTTTGTAGACTTCTTTATACCGATCTGAAACCTATCTTTGGTTGGTTCGTTGATCGAGTTCTTTACCTTCGTCAATATTTGTTCAAGATCATTTTGCCACTGTTCACTGGTTTTAAGAATTAAGTAAGGTGCCAAAATACAAAGTCTGAAAATTTCAAAAACCAAGAGTAAACCAAAAATCTCAACTCACAGCGTGAAGCTCAAATCGAAGATAACAAAGAGAATCTCCCGGTGAAAAGGCGATGAATCATAATGGATAATGAGGGCGCAAGCAGTACAAGTTATTGGAAAAAATGCCAGAACAAAAAGATAGTGAGAGAAAAACTGAAAAAAAATTTTAGAATGAACAAAACTCGAAGGAAAAACTCACTTTATAGACTTTGATATTTTCAGCAATTTGGAATCGGGTCACCAGTGAATAATCCTGTTTATTCACCCGGTTATCATAGTAATACTTTTGGTTTATTTTGTATGTGATAATCGATACGATGTAGCAGATGACATTGAGAAAAAGATGAACAGCGACATAGATCAATATAAGATTTGCTGAAAAAGAATCGAAAAAACTAATTAATGATAATTCTATCTCACTTGAATTGAAGATGTAAGCTGTTAAAATGGAAACGAGAAACATGAAGAAGATGATACCATATGCAACTGAATGTCTCTGTTTCTGCTCATAGTCCTTTATAAACCACGTGGCGAATACTCTCTCAAGCATGATAGCAGTAAGAGCAAACAGAGCTGAAATACAATATCCAGCCTAAAAGATTATCTGATAAAGATGCCTCCATCACTTACGAGGACACATGATTGCAGTTCGGAAGTATGGCTTGTACACGAAAATTGAACTATCCGATAGAAAAACTGAAATTAGGTTAATTATTCAAGCTCACCTTCCCCTCCCCTACCTTGGTTCTTTCCAAGGATATCGAAACTTTTTTCGATTATCAGAATTATTGAACTGAATGGACATGTGGCATATATTACCTGATGAAGAATTTGTAGGTTAGTTCTGTAGTATTTCACTCGAACCGTTATGATGAGATTGAACATATAGTAGACCATTCTAAAAAATGCTCGAAATTTTTAAAGAAACTTTCAAAATACTTACGAAAAGACATTGAGAATGACGATAAGAAGGAAAAGTGCCAGAAACCAAATGTAGAATCCGTCTTGTTTGAATGCTCTCTCATTGAATTGTTCGATCGATAGCATTTTGGAAAGAAGAAGAAGAAGAAGAAAAAAGAGAAGCTTATGGATATTAGTTGTTATTCTCTAAAACAATACAGATTGTGGCAAGTAGGAGGGAGCTCTGGGAATTGAAAGGGATGAGACGTTCTTGTATAATAAAAACAATAACGGTCAGAACGGAAAGTGATGTTTAAGCTACTCAACGTCATGAAAAATAATAGGATATGTTTTCAGCTCTTTAACTAAGAGTTTAGGTTCTTGGAATTGCCATGAGAAGGCATCAGATTATCGGAGATGAGTTATCCTGTTTCTTTTTATGGGCTCGTTCTATAATAGGAAGTGGGGAGAGGCAAAAATAGAAAAGGATCTGAGCATAAGAAGTATCGCTTGTGATTCGATAATGTAAAGCCTGTAATAGAATGGCTCCTTAACTGTCAAGTTTGAGCTAATTTTTTTTTTGGCTCATCTGCAAGATATCAAAAATGTGTCAACTGACAGAACACTTCTGATATTATGAAAAACAATTTATCAGTTGGCAGCTCTTTTATATCCTTGATAGAAATCATGATAAATTGGCTCAAAGCATAAAGTTAGAGGGTGTTTCTATTACAGATTTAACGGTATAAAAAATTAACAACAAATGAGGATGCTCGAATGAAAATACTTGTTCAGAATCTTCGAGAGATTCCATGTCCTAAGCTTTTAAAATTTTATGAGAAACTAAAAATTATGGATACTACGTGCGCTTATTTAGGTCAACAGAAGATAGGAAATATAAATTTCCGTCATTTTTTTTTCTCCACTCTTCTTTTTATTTTATTTTTTTCATTAAACTTGTAGAAGAAAGAATGATGGAGCTATGAGAGAAAAATTTGATGTATGGGAAGTATTTGGGAGGGTGAACGAAGGCTAGCAAGCTGCCAAAAGGGCCGGTGAGCCGTGGACGGCTGGTGGACGGACCATCAGAGGAAACATATTTTAAATGCCTTGTCTACAATAAAATTTTTGCAGATCTTGAAATATAATCCTAACCAAGCATGACAGTTCTTCGAGTTTTAAAGGTCCGTCGGCTGCCAAATAGCCACCGGTGGCTATTTGGTTTACTCTTGGTTTTTGAAATTTTCAGACTATGGCTGCCAAATAGCCACCGTTTGACCGTCAGCACGGCTTTCAACTGTCAGTTGCTCTTTTGCAACTGACAGTCGAAAGCCTTTCCTCTGTGATATTAGATAACCAAATTTCTGTACAATTACTTATTACAACGTTTTACTTTATTAAAACTTTTTGTAATATTTTCCTGATAGTCAAAAATAAAAGATAAAGTAAGTAAACATTTATTGTTCATTAGGTCTTGTATTATTCCAAGAATGGGTTAATTGAGTGAAATAAAAATCCATTTGTGAACTTTTGTTGACATTCATTCGCTCTCCGAACGTTGATTTCAGCTGTAAACTTGGTTTTCCAACTGTCACACTCGAGCATTTGACCTCCGAGGTGTGCTGAAAAATTGACCTGATTTCTATGAGCAGAATCCTTCGACCTACCATGTTCATCCATCTTTTGAACTCATGCTGCCATGTGGAATTGTATTTATAATGAACATATGGACAGTAGAGAATAAAAACTGTGTAGATTGTGTCGAATGAAACAATAAATATATTCTTTTCAGTTGAAGCAAATGGAAGACTGGCCAGAAGAAGAAGGAATGAGCAAAATGTGGCAAAAAGGGCAACTGTTAGAGCGAAAATGTGGAAGAACTGTAATAGGAAAAAATAATATAATTGTTAGTTCCCTATCTATCAGAATAGTAGTCGATAGTTCGATTGCTCACCTTTGCGAACTGAATGTTCTCTGAAATCTGGTACCGCTCCGTCAGAGAATACGTGTAGAATTTTCGAAGGGAGCAGTTGTAGTAGTAACGATTCAGTTTGTAGTTTATGATATTCACCTGGAAAGCAGTTTAATATTTTCCTGAAATATTACAAAAACTACTCACAATGTAACTGACGATATTGCTGACTAGTAAAACGAGGAACGGGTAGAATTTAGCGTTGACTGTAATTTTAATTGTAATAAATTACAGAGAAACTAAGAAAAACAAACTTACACTGAACACAGACAAGAACGGAAATAACAGAAATAAGATATATGAGAAAACTCATTGTATATCCGATATACGAACGGCTTACTTTCTCATAGTCCTGGTGGAAATATGTAGCGAATGATCGTTCGATTGCATAAGCTGGTAGACACAGGAATCCTGAAAAGTTTTGAAAAAATGAATTTTAAGAAAAAAGATATACCGGCAAAAGTCGTGACTAATCTGATAAATTGAATAGTCTGGAATGTTGTTGTGTGGGCATCGTATCCTGAAAACTTGGAATTTTTTGGTTTGATTTTTCACTTCGTCTTTTGAATAATTAAATTTTTCCATCGTCTGGTTTTTGAGAGATTTTATCGAGGGAAATTTTGACTTCATACACAAAGAGGGACTGGTGGATTACTTCCAGAGGCTGAAGAGGTGCGGACGGAAGACCACCGTCTAGACGTCGCCGTGGCTATGCGGACGGACCGTTGACGGCTTTTAGACGGGCCTTTCATTCACTAGGAATAGAGTCACAGTTGTTACACAAAAATCTGATAGATCTGTTGATTGCGAAGGAGAATTCTAATAAAGTTTAGAATTTTTATATGAATTCCCGAACCCTTTAGTTGTTGTAACTTTTAGTAACCTTTAGGTTTTAGAACTATACTTTCGTTCAACAACTTCAAGAAAGACATATCACTTATCAATGAAGCTTCCAGAACTCATTTCTCCCTTTTCTCATCGGTAATCCCCTTTTCACTAACCTCCTTCAAAATCCCAGATTATCATTATCTTCTCAACAATGAAAGCGATATGATGGAATGGACATGTGAAGTAGACAAACTGATGAATCCTCCGAATGTTATTCATTGATCCTCGAGTACGGTAGTCAATGCTTACATTCATTAGATAATATAGAACTCTGTAAAAAATGTAACTTCCTGGTTTGTATTTCTTATGACTGTTTGTTTTTGTGATTTTTTGTAACAGAAATGACACATTCTGCAAATCTTCCAAAACAAGAAACATATCTGATTAGAAATTTCATGATTTTCGTTTACTATATCTTACAAGTTTACAACAGTGGAAAGTGAGATATTCTAGAAACTATCAACTCACCCGATGAAATTGACTGTAATTCCTATTTTGAAAATCAGCGAATAAAGTTCCATGGATCCATCTTCAACTGCTGATTGTCGATTGAAACGGAGAAGATCCAACATTTTGAAATCACTATAATATGAAAAACAATCTTGCTCAATGAATCTAAAAGAACTTGGTGAATAGAAGAGATATCGAGAAGATTAGCTGAATGGGTGGAAGGAAATGGAGCACTGTGACCAGATAAAAAAGAGGAAGAGGAAAGAGGTGGAGAAGGAAAAGGTAAAATAATGAAAACAAGAAAAGAAGAAAGTATTCTGATATGGGAACTGATGACGTGAACAATGGATTCTGAATGTGATTGTAGGGGAGAGCAAGATGGCCAACATCAAAAATGAGTCCAACTGGTCAAAATAGTGGACTTGGAAAAATTGAAGCAAGATTCAAAGAACAAAAAAAGTTGGATGACTTTGTGGTCTTGTGAGAAAAAAAGACGATGCACATGTTGAAGTTGGTCTAACATTTTCTCAGGTCATTTTTTGGGTAGTGATCTTATATTTTAAGACTGAAAGGATGTCGTGTTTCACTTTGAAAGAAAATCTGTGAGCAATGCATACCGCAAACACTGACATAATGTCTCTAAAACCGAAAAATTTGAGCCCATATATCTCGATTCCAGTGAAAGATATCAAAAAGTGATAAACTAACAAAATGTTAATCATAATTTCAATAATATTTTGTCAGTTAGTTACTTTCCGTATTTTTCATAGGAAACGAGATAAATTGACTCAAAGTTGACGGTTTAGGTTTCATCCAATTAAAGTTTTTATGACAAACCAATTTTAGTTGAATAGTGAATAGTAAGTCATCACGGCCAATTCACAACCAAAAAGAACAAAAACTATAATAATTTCCTTTGAAGGAAAGTTTTGATACACCAATAGCAGAGATCTGTTTCTGAACATGTTTTTTTCTGTTTTTCAGTTTGTGCTATCTCACACTCAATTTCTTTTTTCCCTGTCATTCAAAATTTGACTAATGAGCATAAAAAAATACCGAAAGAAACAATAATAGGATCTCAAATGATAATTGGCATCAGAAGAGTGTAAAAAGCGGCAAAGGATATCTCATGAGGAGATCCCGCTTACAATATTCTGCAATCTCCAGCTAATACGTTTTGACAAGTATGCATTTTACTTTATTTTATTTTAAAAAGAAAGAACTTTTACATAACTTTGAATCTATTAATTGGCTCACTTTATTTCTCCATGATAAGCTTAAGTGATAATTAAACGTTATTTGATAAAATGTTTTTGCACCCGAAAAGACAAGGATATGAATACAAGAATTAAAAGAATAAAAGGAAATTCAGATGTCTGGAACATTCCACGACATCTTCAATTGTTCGAAATACGTATCCGATTGTCTCTTGATATCAATATTCATCTCGATTCCAAATGTATTCCTTAAATTCACATTACTCCCGTCTGCACATGGTTCTGCCGTCACATCGATTCTTTTTGAGCGGAATCGTGACATAAACTGAAATAGATGAATAAAAATTCTTAAAATTCGAAGAAATTCGTACTCTGGATACTAGTCTTCTGAATTCCTGTTGCCAACGGATATTGAATTTGTAGATGATGTATGGAGTGAATATTGTGTAACTGGAAAATATTTATGGGTGATGAGATAATTTCAAAAATAGACCTACACACTGTAGCTCAATTCGAACAAAGTGATACACAGATTACGATAAAACCACGAGATATCCAGACTTGCTGCCAGCATCAGAAGAGGACAGAGGATAGTAAAAAAGAAGATACTAGATGCAAATCTTGTAAAAAACTGAAATTAATCAATTAATGGCATCTAGTTTCAATTAATAACTTACGAATGTGAAATGAATATTATCAGATATCTGATATCTTTCAGTAAGTGAATACTTCCCACTGGCATTCCGTTGACACAAATTCAAATATTTACTGTTTATTTTATAGTTCAAAACATTACCCTGAAAGGTATACGAATCATCGCTACAGATATTTCAGAATCTGACTAACCATACAGCTTGTCAAACTCAATACCAATAGAAAAATTGTATGATAGAGACTTGTTGCAACTGAAAGAAAAATGTTTTTAAAAAATCCTTTCCTAGAAATCTCACATAAAGCAAGAGAGTATGCCAGTAAACCTCCTACAGTATACAATCCAATTCCAATCAATATGCCAATCCACCAGCGGTTTTTTTGCTCATAATCCTTGGCCAAGTATGTTGCACAGAATCTCTCTATAACAAAAGCAGTCAAACATATCAATCCTGAAATATTTCATAGTTTCATTACTGAAATACCAAAACGCTTATAGGTAACCTGGAAACACTGTAGAAGTCCTCAAATGATGAAGAAATTGGAACGTTTGGTTTTCATAATCATATCCTTCGGGCATTTCGAACAGAATCATCAATTTTTGAGCAATGAGCACAACGGAACCAATTGGGCATGTGATATAGATGAACTGATGGATTTTAAGGACATTTGTGTCAAATTTCCCAATTCGAATATCAATCCAAACATTCAAAATATAGTAGAAAATGCTGAAAGTATGAGTTTAAATTTTTTATTATCTCACTCCTTTCAAAGCGCAATTACTGTGAACATTCTATTAGAAGGCCACCCAGGCCGGCAACTTTGAGTCCATATATCTCATTCTCTGTGAAAGATATCAGATATTTTATTATCATTATTATTTGTCAACTGAAAAAATGTTGGTGATGTTATAAAAAATGATTTATCAGAGGACAAATATTGGATATCTTTCACAAGAATCAAGATAATGAAGCTCACAGCTGACGGTTTGGGTGGGTTTCTATTATTGAAAATACGGTATTAAATCACATCATTTTGATATCAAATCAGCAAAGCAGTACAAGTTTTTCATACAGTTAAATCTAATACATAGATCAGAAAATTTTTATCTTTTTTCTGATTTTGGCAGAATAATTTAACGAACGAGCTCATAAGAAAACTGCTGACTTACGATATAATATTCACAACTATAACGATGACAAAACCAAGACAAAATTGTTCCAAACTGTTATCTTGTTTCGCAGCTGTGTAGTTGAAAGAGAGGATCATTTCTGAAAACATCAAGCTTGAAGAAAAAAAGAAAGTATCTGTCATTGATTGATGAAAAGAGTTTACTTCCTAATATTTCTTTAGCTTTTTCAATGGGTGGATGAGAGATAATTTAGTACCAAAATGAGATATTTTGAGTCATGAAAAAAGGAGATGAAGAGAAAAAGAAGAAAAATTGAGAACATGACAAATCGAAAATAAAACTAATTTGAGGAACAAAAATAAAAACAAAGATAGAAAAAAGAGAAATCCTCTGCTTATACATAGAGAAGCGATGGTGCTTCCGGCTATAAATTAGAACAACTGGAACAGAGAAAAAAAAATTGGTTTTTTATTCGGGTTCTATTTTTTCACCGGTCACATTAAAAATAAAAAGGATTTATGTTATATGACAGACAGTAGATAACTTTTATAGGAATTTGAAGCCGTGCAAACAAATACAAACTTGGTGGATTCTAGTTCTAGAGTTACTACAGAAGAACTTCTAATTTTAAGTGCATTCTTGGTTGACATGCATTGGAAACTAAAATGAGAAAAATGCAATTTTATGGTGTGGAATTTAAAAAAACGGCTAAACTGGCACCTTTAAAGACAACGTTCAAATTCTAGTATAATTTGAAATCAGTAGTTGAAGTCTGAACAATTCCTGATTTGAGTCACTTTTCAGAAAAGTGTAGACACGAAAATCAACTATAGATGACATATATGTCATACATGAACTAATTCTGATCATTAGTTAGACTGGGAACTTGAAAATATGATATATGCGACTTCTTCTTCTGTACCTTCAAAGAATTGAAATCGATTTCAGGAAATGGAAATATTAAAAAAAGTACACATTATTCACACATTTTTATTTGATATTGAATTTGTGAAAAATAAAAACTAGAAGATTAGCTCAAGTAGGCTCATAAGCATTAGAAGAATCACACTTGATACACGTCATCCGGAAGTACGACCTCAATGAGTCTAAAAATGATTGATGCGATTATTATATGAAAACTTTAGATTGATAGACTCGTAATATCTAAGAAAGAGCAGCTTCAAATCGAAAACCATCAATGTGAATATCAATCAGACCAATAAATTATCAGATCATACTAAGTATACTCCCTGGGTAGGGGTACGTTTTCTCACGAAAGAAGAAGTAAAACTTCCGTTTCTCGCCGAAAAAAGTCTGAACTTCTTAAATTGACGTCTGAGTAGCCGTCTAGTAAGAAAATTGTCATCTAAAAGACATGCGTTTACTCATTTCAATGGATATTAATTGTAAGCTTTGAAGTTCGCTAAAAGTGATCGATCGAATATCTCTTTTCGAAAAACTAAATTTTTGAATTGTGAAAAAAAGTTGTGAAAGTTTTGGAATATCTAGGGGATAATCATAGGTTTCAAATGCTGATTCGAGAAAAGTAATCATTTGAACAAACTCCAGTAGTTTTTCAATTTTTAGTTATAAATCATAACTTTATTCTTGTAGAAAAATACGTTTTCTAGCTTAAAAAAGGTTGTTCAAA